GTTGAATTGTGTTGCAGAATGTTTAGGAGTCAGAAAGCTGCACAGTGTCCTTGCTAGTTAAAGCAGACAATAGAGAAGCCAAATCTCATGTTCCATATTTATTTCTACATTCTCCCCTTTTTATGATAGAAGAAAATACGATAATACTTGTGTGAGGCAGAGGTACCCAATGCGCCGTCTGCTGACGGGTGGTGGTAGTCCCTGTATTATCTGTGTGTTCTTTCCTAGATGCTGAAGGGGAGTCTCTCCAGTCATTGCTTTCAGAATGGGATAATCCTGTTTTTGTTCCCTGCCCAGAGGTAAGCATTATCTCGCATTTCACGCTAAAATAGAAGTCCGTTTAGCCTTCTGTTATTTTCTGACATGAGGACCAAATTGTAAATTTTGTAACAGTTGCACATAAGTTATTCAGCAATATATTAGACTATAGACTTGGCAGTTATGTGTTTTTATAGACTGTTTATGTGTATGACCGTCGTTGTGGATTTATTCAAAGTCAGAGAAGCAGGTATCAGGCTAATCTTTTGCCTTACGTCATTTCAAAAGCAAAACATTATTGTAAGCTGTCTTTCCCTCTACAGAGACAGTCACTTTAGAATTAAAAGTTAAAGGATGGCAAAAATTGTAATACAGTGTCTGTCCTCTTTATGGACAGAGTTAAAATAACCCAGCTTTCTTCTCTGGGATGCAATGGGTCTTAAAAGTGTATTTTACTATACTTGTTTTTGTAGCCTGGCAGGATTATAGCATGTGAGAGGGAAACAATGTTGGAGCTTTTAGAAAAACTTCCTTTGTTGTCATGAGGTAGCATTATCTTTAATCATCACGTTGGGTGTGTGTAAACATATGTATGTAACCATTTCCACCTGCAAACAATAGAGACGGAGTAGCAAACCACCTGCTGGTGAGTTTCTGAAAAGGAACAGTTCTGTTCTGTTGCAGTGACGCGCACTCTGACTCATTTCAGGGTAATACATCTTTTGTCGTGCAATCCACTGAGAGCTCCCGTAGGCTGGTAATTAACTTCAGGTTTTCTGATAGGTGCTTGAAATCAAGTGAACACATTGAAGTTAGCAGGTTAATAGCCAGGTGGGAAAGCATTTGAGGATGGAAGCAAAGGGATTGTTGGACAGTATCTTTAGCTAGGGCTAGCCTTGTGTAGAAAGCTTCGTCAAAATATGGAGTTATTTCCAGTTTTTCTTGAAGCTGGTTTGTTGGGGTATTTTGTGTGTGTTTGGGGTTTTTGCTATATCCTTTATAATCTGCTGTTGTGATCTGTAATTCTGTTTTTACAGATTGCTGTTGATGTGACCAGCAGTCAGGCTGACAATCTGGCTGTGAAAATTCACAATATCTTGTATCCTTATCGTTTCACCAAAGACATGGTACATTCGATGCAGGTACAATACGATCTGTTACTAGTTTTCACCCCCAAATTCCCACTCAGCCTATGGGATTTGCTGATGTTTCTGCCTGGGGGGAAAGAGGTACCCAGAGAAATAATTCATATCCCTAATTTTCACAGGCACAAACAGAATTCTTGGTTGCTGTGTGATACTGGCAGACACGTATGTCATGCCAGATCTGAGTGTCATCTCATGGTTAATCAGCTATCTGAAAGGGACTCTAAAATTCCTTGACTCAAATCAAGAGGCAGCACTGCTACTGCTACTTAGAAACACTGTTAACTAAACGATATTTCAGTAGGAGTTCTTTATATTTATTGTAGGCATTTGCTTAGTTCGCAGTCCTCTGAAATCTGTGTCCTGAATCTTAACGTTTTGTTAAAAAGAAATGTAATTCTTCAGCAGAGTGGTTTCAAAAGTAAATCCCAGATTTTGTGGAAAGACTTGAAGTTTTAATTTAAGATTTATGTCTGCTCTGAAAAGCGATTCTTAGAAATGGCATCACAGCATCACATTTAAGTGGTTTAGTGCTTCTTTATCAAATGTTTTGAATGTTAGCTTAAAAGCGAATGTAAATGTTTGGCTTCAACTTACGTTCTTTGATGGTTTGCCTGGATAGAAATGCCAAAGTGGATTCTCTCCCCCTCTCGCATCCCAGTGACAGAAGCTTACAGGCCCAGTTAGCATTTTCCTCATGCAGTCAGGTTGCTGACTTTGAGGTTGCAGCTTCTGACTGTATGGGGCATGGTAATGTTGATCTCCAGGGGGGACAAGGATCCAAGTGATTCTGTTGCTTGTGTTGTGTGTGCAAGAATAACAGGAGTAAATAAAGTTATTACAGTAAACAGATTATGTTTTAAAGAGACAGGAGAGGAAAGCTGGGAAATGGAAGGTACCATTTTTCTGTTCACTCCTCATAGTAAGAACCGTTCTTTAGAACTTACTTAGTGGTTCTGTGATTAACTTTACCTGCGTAATGTTCTCCTCTTTGTGTGTTTTTAAGAAGGTAAAGCTAGAAGAAATTATCACTTCCCATCTCTGAAGAAGCTGAATACTGCCTTTAGTAGTCTATAGCAATTTTGAGAATCTGTGTAGAAAAGACCAAAAGCACAAAATGCTGCATCATGCCACAGGAAAAGAATAGAAAGAATCATTAATGTCTTGCATCCTTGCAAAGAAATAAGGTCATCTATTCATTTTCACCTAGGAGGTGAACAATGCACGTGTTGTGAAACAGAGAATTCAGAGTGAGCTCTATCTATGTGACTTGGGTAGAAATTCCTCCCTAACACCATATCGGCTGGTTTAAGTCTAACAATAAGGTGCTGAAAGCATTATGCATCCCTGCTCAGTATTCCCGGTAGCTCTGGTTGATTTCTGATGCTTGAGGTGAGAGTGGAATCAAGTCACAGAGGCAAATTCTACATCAGAAAATGAGAGGGGAAAAAAATGCTTCCTGCCTCCTACAGATGATCAGCCCAAGTCCTTAAACATAGGGCAGGTTAAAAAAAGTTGTTTATATTCTCTTTTGGTGATATTAGTAAATCAAATACTCAGCGTCACTGTGCACAGCTTTAATTCCCAACTCAAGGAGGCTTCTACATGAGCATTTAATCTGTTCTGTGTATTTCCAGCTCCACCTTAGAACAATGAATGCTCTTGCCTTTATGACTCTCTTTGAAAACATTGATCCAGAATTATTTTCTTGGATATTTTGAAACTTTCTCTTAGTTCCAGACTAAACTGTTTCATGACCAATTTCTGGTCATTTGACCTTCTGCCAGTATTGTCTTTTAGCTTAAATAATTGCCGCCTTTTCCGTATTTAGCCCCTCGCTGTATTTATCAAGAATAATTGTAAACTGTCTCAGTTTTGCTAGGCCACATTCTTTAAGCCTTTAGGATCAGAAAAGTTGTGGTTTCCACTTCCCTAATCATCCTGCTAGCAATTTGTTGTGCCTGATCCACTTAGATTGTTGTCTTCTTTTGTTTACTTTCATTTTAATAATAGTTTTACCACTGGATAATGATTTTTCTGAGTATCTTACAGGTTCTTCAGCAAGTGGACAATAAATTTATCGCTTGTTTAATCAACACTAGGAACGAAATGGATGAAAAGGCAGGTAAGAGTGGTTATTAACATGAAGTTGGGGTGGCTGTCAAGTGCAGTTAGACTGCAGAGTGAACACTGTCCTGTTTGTATTCTCTTCTTGCCTTAGGATGATATTGTGAGTAGAGGAAAATGTTAGTCTTCACTTGAAATTTCCTGGATCTTCTTTATCTTTATTTTGGACATTGTTGAATGTTCCTACTGCCTTCAGATTAGTGTGATAAAAATAGATTGTACTCACATTACTAACATCTTTCAGACTCTGTTCACAGTGTCTGGACGTACTCATTGTTGAAGCTTGCTGAAGCTGTACAAAAAAGGCATTCAAAAGCAGTAGTTTTTGTAACATTTTAAAGACTATTAAACACAACAGTTTGCGGGTGACCTCAGCTCTCATTCTGAAGTTAGATGAAGATGTCAATAGACAAGAGTATCTGACTCAATCTAATTACCTTAATTTAAATGGCAGTTTGGATTTCTGTTCTGTAGTGACTTTATGTTCTGCCAACACAGCCTCCTCCTCACTTTATTTCTGTAAAACTGCCTGATAGTTATCGTCTAAATGTGGCCTCTAGGGAGTGGCCATTCTTCCCAGCCTGTGCAGTTGTCTGGTACAAAGTTGACTATTTCTCATCTGTTATGGTACATTTTTAGATGGAAACCTCTTGATTTTGGTGGATCAACATGCAGCTCATGAACGGATCCGCTTGGAGCAGCTTATTGCAGGTGAGGATTCAGATGGTCTTAGGAAAAAAGATAATCAGTGCACAGAAAAGTGCAAACGAGCTGGCTGGGATTTATGGAACCAATAGGATATTCATTTGTCATCTTTATCCTGATCCCTAGGAGAGTGCAGACCTTCAGTGTCTGTAGCAGTCATAGTATTGTCCCCTGAAAATGGTTACAGTGTTTCCAAAAATAGGAGATATACTCCCTACCCACAGAACTATCAAACTAAAATAGTCCTGACATAATGAAAGAGCAGGAAGACTGATAGGAAAAACAATGAAGAGGAAATAGAACAACATCAATAAGATTGTGTGGCTATGCTGTGAAAAATAAGACATGGGATGCAGAGTAAAGAACATAGTTTGTTTGGTTCCTTTTTAGCTGAATACTGTGCTTAAAGCCTAAAATTTCCACATTCTGAAACTGTTTGCAAAGGGATAATAGTCTTCTCTGTAAACTCATTAGCCATTGGGTTTCAGCGTTAAAAAGCACAATACCTATCTGTCAAGTACTTAAAAATCATTGACCTTCTCTTCCATCAACAAATACTGTGCAGTTCCTGCAAGGAGGGTTCCAGGAACTCTGCTCCTTTTGGTCAGGTACTGAAGAAAGTCAAAGACTGAAGGGAGAAATGCTTAATATTTTAGTGCCATTTATATTAGACTTTTCTGTGGAAAAATTGCTGTCTGTGAGTTGGACTAAATATATCCATAGTTTTTTTGCTATTTAGGGTGACTCTTTTTCAGAACTGGTGGGAAAAAACAAAGTGGCATTAAGCAGCCCTTCCCCAGAGACTAGGTGTCTGGTTTGTGGCATTCCCAGTCCTCCACAAGTTTCAGGAGAAGGCATTCTGTGGTCTCTTTTTAATCCAGAGGATTACACGCCAAACCATAGGGTCATTAAGGGTAATGCCTGCGTAAATATTCTGAGAGAGGATACTTCTGAATGATTCATTCACAGATTCCTATGATAAGGAAGCTGCAGCATGTGGCAAGAAGAAATTACTGTCCTCCTCCATCTCTCCCCCTTTGGAGATTGAAGTTACAGAAGAACAAAGAAGATTTCTACGGTTAGTAACGGCCAATAGCTCTAAACTTTTGGGGACAGCTCTGTTGACCAGGAAGAGCTCTGTATAGTGCTGGGTTACTGTAAAGCTCAGCAAAGAAGCTGTTGATCCTTTCCAGAGGTGAGACCAGTTGGCTATGTCTGTGCTGAGGAAAACAGGTGTGCTTCTCAGGCACTTCCTTACATCTCAGGACAAAACCTGTGGTTGCCATCTCTGTGTCTCTGCAACGTGCTCTGTTTTCCCTTGGGAAGTAAAACCTTCATGTGTGGGCCAGGAGAGTGCCCTGGCAGTCTCCAACAGATCCTGCTGTCTAAGGCTTAGGACTTGGGAGTGCACACTGGAGTGCCCATAGCGTTGAACTAGTCCCCGATGTAACAGGCACTGTTTGAGAAGAACAGGATGGGACATGGAAAGTTTGTATTGTGAATCCTTCAAAAATGCATTCCTTAATCCTAGGTGCCTGCCAAGAGTAACTAATGAACACTGTTTCCCAAATGTTTCAGAATGGTGGCCTAGCTACTATTAGGATATTTAACTTTTGGACTGTGAGAATTTAGATCAGATTTGTTGCTGGACTATTGCAGACCTATTGGACACTAATCAAACTTTTTTCCCCAAACTCCCTGTCTGGCACCTGCCACATGTGTTTGTGGAGTTTTTTCCCTGCATTGTTCTTAATTTTCGGGTGAAGTTCTATCTTAACATTCACAGGACTACCTCATTATTCTCGAACTGCCCTTTTTTTGTGATGCTTGTGTCAAACTTGACAGCTTTTAAATCACTCCTTGTTAAGATTGTTGCCTATTATAAGGATACACTTGTTGGGTGTAAAGCTGTTTTTGGGTGTATTCCAATCATAACTGTATCACTGCTGTATCCGTTTGGTAACTCTTGTGTGTGACAATGGCCAATACCAGAAATTCCAAAGGAAAGTAAAGCACTGTTAGGTTCCACCTGCCTTAGGGAAAAATGCGAGAACGTAACCATTGCTGTTCATAGTTCAGTGATATTTGGATGCCTTTGTTGTTCCCACCTCTTAATGATGTTCTTGCTAACATCACAGTATCTGTAATGCCTCTTGTTCAACTTTGAATTATTTTTGCACTCATCTTGGAATGTCTTCCATTTCTGATATATCTCCTTTTGGGACTGGACGGCGAAAATTGAACACAGTATACCAAGTGAGAGTATCCCATTGACTTGTACAGTAGCTTTGCAGTTGTGCCCATATTTTCTGTCTGTTATAGCCACACCTGATATTTTGTCTGCTTTTTGACTACTGCTGCTTGCATGAACTGCTTGTTTATGGAATTGTCATGATAGTGAAACAGAGAGTTGTGGGTGTTTTTTTTTTTTTTAATATTTGCTATTTATGTAGAAGCCAGCAAAATGTACAGGTAGATCAAATTATTCCTCATAATTTGCATTTATTTGTCTTTAGGAGCAGTGAATTCAGTTTTTCTGTCCATTTTTTGTGATACCTTTTTCATTCATCCCGCTGATTTCATTCATCATTTTTCTACTTGTTTTAAATTCTAATTGAGTTCAACATTGTATTTAGTCTCAGCTAACCTAAATAATTTTGTGTTTTATACAAATTTGCCTGCTTAACCACGCCCCTTCTTTTCCACATCATTAATAAACAATTCCGAAGATAGAGATCAGGACTCATGTCATGTTAAACACTGACCATCTGTTGCCAGGGTACCTTTTTTCTGCAGACTCCAAATCATGACAAATGTTACTTTTCTATCCATGACAACATTTTCTATTTGCATTTCTAGCCACTTTTAAGAGGCAGCATCAAAGGCTTTTTGAAAGACCAAATAAATTCTGTAAACTACTTTTCTTCATCAGCTAAATCACAAACATACTACAAAAATAAGTAAGAAAAAGTAAATCAGGGAAGCATGGTTTTCTTTTAAGGACACTGGTTAAATTATTCAGCATAGTGAGATGCCAGTTGTGATTTTCAGTTATCACTTAAGATAATTGATTTAAGAAGCTTACTGGTGCTGGCTTACTGGTGCTTTTATTGTGTTGCTCTTTTTCAGTACTTATTGGGAGTTCATCTCTCTACAATTACTCTGTGAGATTTTCCTCAAAAGTTACGAATTGAAAGTACTGTGTAAAAATGTCAGTTCTGTTGTTGCTATTGCTGGCAGAGTATGACTGTATGCTGTGGTAAAGTTTGATGTAATGAAATGAATTCACTTCCCTAAAAGACCTTTCTCTTCAGCTATGCTTGTGTTTAATGGTTCAGCTGGACCTCTGGTTCACCTGCAGCTTTGATTCTGTTGTTTGTCTGCTAAGCATTGTAGTAATGCATTGTTCTGTTGACTCTCTTGAACTTCCCTTTTTTTTTTTTTTTTCTCCTTTAAAATAGATGCTTGGATTCTGTCATTTCACCCCTTTTCTATCTTTCTCTGCTCTTGATGAAGGCTATACGTGTCTTATTTTTTGGGGTAGAATTACACAAGTCATCTCCATATGGATGCTAATAACTGTATTATTTTTGTGACTGATTTTAGATTAGCTTCTTTTTTGTTCAAAGAATCTCTCTTCTAAAATGACCTTTACCACCTTTGTTTTAAGTGAATATTCCCTAGGTTAATAAGATAAACTATATATTGTTGCAGTTGTTTTCATTTTGAAGACAAGTTCTCATCTGACTGTGAAGTCCCATTTTTGTGTGTATTTTTCCACCCACAGGGTGACATATGTCAGATTAACTAGAGGTGGTTCTTTCCCGGGTTCTCTTTGCTTAATGGGATATAAAGTTCATTGAACCAGCATAAATTTCTTACAGTATTTTTTTTCCATTATAAGTATTTGCTATTACGTGTCAATTGAAATCATAAATTTTAGGTTAGACTTAAAGGAGTCTTTATGGTGGGTAATTTTAATATTTGGAGTGTTTGTGTGTTGAACCAGACACCTCGTGCGTCTTTAGAAAAGATAGATTTATAAATTTAGACATAAAACTTCTCCCCATGCAATACAGGAACTCTTAGATCTTGTGGTTGTGGAACATGAAATGTGCACGGTTGATTGGAGTGAAGAAATGTGGCTGAATGTAGGCTGAAAAGGCAAAATTACTTGGAATCTCATGATGCACGGATTTTGAGGCCGGAAACTGTTCCAGGAAGAAACATACATGGAAACTACATAAATATTTACATATGCTGTGGAGATGCAGCTACTGTGGTTGATGTCTTATTTCTGGTATTTTTTTTCCTCAGATGCTGCTACAAAAATTTGGAGGACTTGGGTCTTGAATTGTCATTTCCTGAGACCAACAGCTCCTTGATTCTAGTGAGGAAAGTGCCACTGTGTTTTATAGAGAGAGAAGCCAATGAATTACGACGGAAAAGACAACCTGTCACTAGAAGCATTGTGGAGGTCAGCTGTGGCTTTGGGTGAAATTGTGATGGTCTTGTTCTGTGTTAATGGCCCAGGGTATTACACTATCTCTGTTAGGAGGGAGACAACAAAGTCCCTTGGCAAATGTGGGCACCATCCCTTTTACTGGCTAAATAGTCCCACAGCTGAAATCCCTGAACTGTAACAGAAATGATAGGAGACTGTTTCAGACTTGGAGTAGTGGAGAAGCTAAGAAAAATAGTATCTAGTGCAGATGTTTCAACAGTTTACTGCTCATGAATGCTTGAATGAACAGTAAAATGATTACTTCTGCTGATACAGAAATATTATTAGGATTTAAAGTTGTTTTCATTAAAGCCCTACATGGGCAGTACAGCTTTCTAAAAGCTGCTGTTCCAGATATTCTGCAGTTTGAGGAAGAAACTGCTGAACTGATTACTTGCAGTTTCCATTGTAAACAATTCTCCACAATCATAACTGCTTCAATGACTCCTTAAAAATTGTTTCTGGAGTACCTCATTCAGCCACTAGGCTGAGCCATTGTGAATCAGTCTAGTCTTGCCATACAGCTCTTTTGATATGAAAAGAAGAAACAGAGATGATTCTTCTGATTAAATTTTCTTTTCCAACCTTGCTATAATCGGGAAGAACTCAAAATGGACTCTCCTGGTGTGATTTGGGAGCCAAAAGCACTAAAAGTGGTGAGGAGGGGATCAGGTCTGTGCCTCACAAGCACTCGTCCATAGTGCCTTGACACATCAAGATCTCCTGAACGTTTTGGCAGAGCTATTCTGCAGTCCTTTTTAATTAGGACTGGTGGCATCATTCGTGATTGATTATGAATTCATTGCATTTTAGACATCAGAAATGAAATATACAGGGACTATTATCCAAAGAAGAAAGGGCATTTGTTGCACTCTGATGTGTAAGAGTTCCGTTATACCCATTCTACAGATAGGAAACCGGTGCAGAGGGAAACCATGTGATTAGTCTAAAGTCTGATAAGATACTTGTGAGAGTCAGGACTTGCACCTAGATCTTTCACACTGTGGTCAGTGGACTAGCAACAGCATCATTTTTCCTGGTTCTGGCAGTTACACAGTGAATTATACATAGATGTGGACAAAGCAGGGTATGGGCAATGAAACGGAGAAATAGCAACTGATGATTTTTACTTTTTTCTTTCCAGGAGCTTATTCAAGAACAAGTTGAGGTGAGTTGCTATCTGTTTCTAATGTTGACTGTGATAATGCAAAGCTTACTGCATGAACCAAAGGGAGTGTGTTAAGCCTCAAGTGAGACAGGTGAACTAGATAATTCACTAGCTTTTCCTTATTTTTAGTTTCCTTTGTGTTACAAGTTCTTCCTTTTTCTCATATTAAATGGAATGTAAGATGATGTTCCCTTACTACTTTTAGCTAGTGCAGACCACAGGAGGAAGAGCACGAGGGACACTGCCTCTGACGTGTCTGAAGGTGTTAGCTTCCCAGGCCTGTCATGGTAGGGAAACTGTACTTCTCTTTTCTTTCATTTTTTTTTTAAAACCTTTCTGTCTCTACGCAACTTCCTCCCTGGGTCAGTGGTTTCAGAATGTGTTTGCAGCAATTCCAGAATTACAGACTGTGTTTCATAGGGATGAGGAGATAATGATTTTTTTATGGACAGCACTGTGAGGGACAAGCAACCACGACTCTGATTTATTAATGTATGGGCCTAATGTACTTTTCAACCCTCACATGAAACACAGATAGAATTCTGAGATGCACTCATCTGCCTGAGCTCTAAGCCATTCAAATAACAGCTCTGTGAAGGGGCAAGGGGAGGTGCTGGAATCTGCTCAACAGCAAGCAGGAAAGACTTAGACACTCTTCCCAAAAAGCATTTTTTATTTCATCTAAGTATCAAAAGTGCTAGTTTAAGTGTGCCTGTGACCTGTCAAGTATTTTTGGAAGGAATGCAGCAAGAATTTACATGTTCTAAGGGACTATGGCTTTCCAGCATCTGGAAACAAGCAGACCTTACAGGTGTAGACCACAGTAGCTCTAGCCTCTTGTGGCAGTTCCTGTGCCATTTACAGTATTAACAAGATTACGCTGAAGGGGCAAACATGAACCACAAGCATCCATTTTCACAGTGTCACTGCATTCTACAAATGGCAGACCATATGTAATTTTTTTGTATCTAAAAAAAGTCCCACAGTTGAAAGGGAAATTGCATCTGTGAAGGCTAAAGATTGCAAACACCGCTGAAATGACTCCCTAATGTTCTGCTTGGATTTCCTCTGGATGCTATTAAGTGCTCACTTGCGAGAAAGGACTTAGTGGCAGGGCTGGCATTTGGTCTTGGAATTGATGCCTGTCAGTGGCAGGCACGTAGAACTGATAAAAGCCTATGGAACTGATGCTAGCTGTTGTCTTGGTTTAATACTTTCTGATTTATGAACTGGCTGTGTCTTCAGCCATCGCACACACACATATTAAAAAAACCCCAAACAACCACAAACCAGCCCATTTACCTCTTGCAATGTCATCTGAAAAGCCCCAAACTAATAATCTTTCCATCCGTCAGACTTTGGTTAGGTGAAAGCTTAGGCCACGGAAGGCTGATCCTTAGGCAGCAGGGTGGTTAATTGAGCTAAGCCCTAAGTCTGCCGTACCACAGCCTTTGGGCTGCCTTTGCAGCCTCCCAGCTAAGCTTTGGGAGCTGCCTTGTTTTCTGTGAAAACCAAAGCTGTGGAGGGAGGCCTGCTGGGTGCTTTTTGTCTTTGGCAGCACGTGCAAATATTTGTATCTTTTTTTCAGGAGCTATTAAGTTTAATGAGTGGTTGACTTTGGAGGAGAGCTGCAGGCTCATTGAAGCTTTGTCATCTTGCCAGCTGCCCTTCCAGTGTGCTCATGGAAGACCTTCCATGATGCCTCTTGCAGACATAGACCACCTACAGCAGGAAAAGCAGGTACTGTGTGGGAGACAGATATGCATCTGACAATCCCCACTCTGGATTATCAGAGGTATGTCATGTAGGTATTTGTTAGAACCAGAATGGACCAATTCAAAACCACCACCACTGGCTGTATCTTACTTGAAGTTTTACATAGCTGTTACCAATAAAATAAAACTTTAGAATGTTAAACCTCTGTCCTGCAAACACTTTAGCAAGGGTCTTATCATCTTCCTTTTGAATGGTCACGTTGACTTGCATCGGGTCCACTAGTCCTTAAAAGTTAAGGATACATTTAAAGTGTTTGCAGCTTTTAAGTGTAAAACTTGGAAAATGTGTAAATTCTGATATTCTACTAGCGACAAAGATGCAAATTAAACAAACATGTAGTTCCCCAAAGTTTAAGATGCTATAAAATGGGGAAAAAAAGGCAAAGAAATAGCAACATTTAAGTTAAAAAAAATAATCATTACTCCTTCCCTTTTGCTATTACTGTGCTATATTAAGTTATGAAATTGGATTCTGTTTAAAGTCAGGTGGGACTTTGAATTAGATATTAAAAAAAACTTGGGAATGCCTGTACTAGGGGAAAGAGCATGGAGTCATTGAAGTTCATTTACTTAGTTATGATTTAGTGCTTAATTTTTCTCCCTCCAGCCTAAACCTAACTTGGCTAGACTGCGGAAGATGGTGCGAGCATGGCACTTATTTGGAAAGAAAAGACCCTAATCAAAAAAAGTTAAGGCTGCAAGCTGCAACCACTAGAAGTGTTGGTGTGATCCACATCCCCCTGTTGTTAGACAATACCCCGTGTGGCGCCAAGCTTCTGAGCCAGTGCGGTCACCAAAGCTCTGCTCAGAGTACTGACCTAAGAAGCAGAGAGCAGCCAGGAGAACGTGGCAGGAGGAGCCCACCCTTGTAGCCTGGGGAAGTGTCTTCAACGTTAAGGAATTACATTGTAAGCCTGGGCCTTATGTCAGTGCTTGACTATCGGAGGCAAGAAGTTGTAGCCACTCGCAGTTACTAAAGTGCTTTTTGTTTGTAAGCACAGCATGATTCTGCATAATAGAGAGACTTTTAATTAATGTATTTTATAGTGCTTTGAAAATGAGGAGGTATTTATTAATAAAGTTTACATTAAACTCTTTCCTTGGGCTCATGGCACTGGTTGGAATGAAGACCGACCGGCTTCTTCGTATATATAGGCCAACTTAGGATCAAAACCCACTTGGCAATGAATGACACACCCAGCTATTTTCCCCAGCTCCCTGCAGATTGCATCCTTGAGTGAGCGGTTTCTAAATCCTAGCATAGCCCCATGTTCTCAGGGTACAGACATTACACCCCCACAGAAATAACTAAATAGCCCATGGCATTTTTTACAATAGGCAGACTTTTTTACAGGTTCTGTTTCTATTTTGTGTCTCAGTCTAAGGTAGAGGAGTAGAGTTTATTCCAGAATGGTAAAAGAAGATGTTGGCGACATCCCACTTGAAACCAAATCAGAGATCGTGACATCCGCTGAATCAAAAGCAAACGAGGAGTGGAAACTACTTTCATTTGATGCCTTAACTGCGGTGGTGTATTGCCATACCTTGGTAAAAGGGAGTAAGGGAAAGTGATCTGACTGACCTGCAAGCACCTGAGATTTCTGTGACATTCCATGCTGCCCCTCACAAAAATCAAGAACTTGCCAAATGAGACAAGATGTCCACCCAAGAAGAATAATCAGAGTCACTCAAGTAGAACACAAGAGGAAAGACCCTCAGACTACAGTAAGTGAAGCAAAACCTTGAGCTCTGTCTTCTGACAGGGAGTGGACAAGCTATCCGATGGGACTTTTGAAGGTCTGCCTTTCATCAAGAATGGAATTTCCATTCCAGCATGGTACAAAAAGCTGGTTTGTATTTCAGTAACTCACCAAAAATTGTCAGAAAATTCTTCCCAAAAAATCCATTTTGAAGACAACTGCCAATGGCTTTCTGTCACACTGATGTGAAAGCACACCTTAAAGCCTCCTGCTGCATCGCAGGTGCAGGCAACTCACCACCCTGGTCAAACTCCTGCTAGCTAAAGAAACAAAGTAACCGCATCTGGAAAATGTGCTTAACACTGACATCACTGTAAACAGCCTTTATTGCAGCACACTTGGATGTAACAGCTTAGCTGCCCCAGGGAGCTACACACGTGCCTTGCTGTTTCACAAATCAAAGTGGGTTAGCAGCTCCACGTGGCTTGTAACAGGGATCCATACCTGTACAAAAGCTCTGCCTTCTGTTGCTCTGGGGTAGGAAAGACATTGCTGAGCAAATTCCTCACCGATTCCCCACAGCAACCCATCTTTGCAACATACACTTTAATTAGCTGCTGCATCTTTCTAAAGAGAAAGACAGGAAAAGTCTGGAGAGTGACGTCCTTCGTGGCATTAGAGTTCATAGTCATCTGGATGGTAGAGCTCACTCATGAGGCGGTAGATGTAGGACGGCGCGTTACCCCCGATGTTGGAAATGAAGAGAGTGATGAGCTCTGGAGGGACGTAGTCAAACACTGGGCAGTGAACATTGATCTTCGCCAGGATCTCCCCTGTAAAGTGAACAGCAGCCGTATCAGACAAAGCAACTCAAAGTACATTTAGCCTTCTGCACGTCTCCCTGAGCCCCTGAAGAAACTGGCTATGCACATGCTACCCTGAAGTCAGTACTGGAACATCCCGAGTACTTTCCAGCTTCCTCACTGATGTCACTGAATTACAGGTGTACAGCAATCTTGGATGAATGGCAGCACGCTCTTTTGGCAGTTTTTACGAATAAAAACCCCAGATCCCCTCTGATGTAGATTTACTAATTGCCAAAAGACTTGCCAGTATGTAATTACAATGCAAGAATCCTGATGCTGACGAAGTTATTTAAAGAAAAGCTCAGAAGGCCAAAACCAAAACCCTGTGCCAAACCTGGTATCTTCATTTCAAAAGTCTTTGTCACATAGGAACAGGGCTTTGAAAGAGACTTTGCTATCTGAAAATGGGGAGCTGCCGCCTTTCTAAAGATGGTGCTTGTGTGGGCAGCCCATTGCAGAGATACCGGGTTTCAACAAGTGGATCACGTAACGAAGTTTCAAGAAGTTAATGTGAGCTGTAGGAAGGAAAGGAAGCTGCCCTCAGTGTGGGCATCTGCTTTGTCCCACAGGAAACTGCCACCTGCCTGGCACCATTATCACAATCCTATAATAAAACACTGACTATTTCAGAGCAGAAGCAAGAGTGCAAAGATAGTGCTCAAAGGAAATCCTTTTTCTGTACTTTCTATTACAGAAAGTGACATATAAAATAGAATGGTTCCCAGCACTTTTTTTTTTTTTTTTTTGCTTAAGACAAAAGGAAAGGATTTTCTGTCTAGGGTTACAGGACAGTCTTGTGTTTAAATTTTAACATGAGCTATTACAAAAATTTAAAAATTATAGCCTGAACCAGCTTGACCAGCCTGTATAAAGAAAAACCAGTACCTTCTGTGAATGGCAGCACTTCCTGTGGTGACACAAACTTGTGGAATGAATCTTCTTCGTTAGGGAACTGAATGAGAAAGAGTACAGGAAGGTCAGGGAAAAAAAAAAAAAAAAAGACTGCCTCATTATCCTAGTGCAAACAGATCTTGGGTGCTGGAAGGAACAAAAGCAGAGGAAGAAAACTTGCCAGGTGACACTACATCTGTTTAACAGTGCTTGTGCCTAGAACCTCTGTAACATCTACAGGCAAAAGGGTTTTTCTCAGAGCTTTTAGAGCCCTCTGTGACCTGGCTGCCCTTCTGGAAAGCCAAGGGAACTGGAGCAGAGAAGGGACTCCCTCAGTATGCAACTTCATCTGACAATACTGAAGAAGTACTAAATGTAACAGTGTAGAGCATCTCCATCTACCTCCTCTGTCAGTACACAGGGCCTTTCAACACTGAAGATATAAACTGAAATCTGCTGTGGCTGAAGAAAACTAAGTATGGTGATGTCAGTCTCTAGCAGGCAGTGGTCTACACCTTTATACCCCAATGCACTGCTTAGCTCATGTGGCAGAGGAGGGTGATTCAAGGAGATCCTGAGTTGTGCCACATTTGGGTGAGGATCTCCTATCTGAAGTAAGTGCTAGACAGGGGAGGTGGCTCATTTACCAACCTCACCTTGGGACAGATGGTGCTCTCCACCCTAACCTCCCAGAAGCAGAAAATCACCCCTCATCTCTGTGTTGAGCAGGTGCAGTCCTGAAGAGCTGCTGTACTTGCCTGCGGTGAAAGCTTGAACATGGGGGCGCACACGATGAGCGGCGTGGAGTGGTGTTTAGCTGCCAGAGCCAGAGTGTGAGTCCCACTCACAGCAATCAGGGCGCCATTGGCCAGGATTGTCTTTGTACCAATGATGACCTTAAAAGGCAAATCAGCATTAGAAAGCATGTCCCATGGCAAACTGGAGAAGGAACGCTCCTGGCTCAGACCCTGCCAGATGAGCTGGAGGAGTTTGTCAGAACAGCCACCCAGCCAAAGGCTCTAGTTGTAGGACAGCTGGATGCCTGATCTGTTTCATCTGGCACTGGCTCTGCATTGAAATGCTCCTCTCTAACAAGAGCGTGACTCCAGCATGATGAGGCCAGCTGGTGAGGCCAGCCCAGACCACTTCAGAGGACAAATGTATGTCCTACCGCAGGGAACACCAAGCAGAAACTGGGCCGTATACCCTGTTGTTCTACAAGCCTGCAAAGTAAGTTTTGTACAAGTAACTTGACTGCCAGCTGCAACAATTCCCGTGCTGTAAAATGGGAATAATGTAAAGCAGCTTAAAAAATATAGATAAGTAGTGCTGTGGCTAGATTTTATTACAAGTAACTTTTTTTTTTTTTTGGTTTGGGGTGCCAAGTCTTCATCTCTATAAAAGGACAGAACAGGTCTGTTCAAAAAGACACACCTTGGTGATTCCCTTCACCACCCATCTTGTGTTCCTCCCCTCTGGAAATGCTGCTTTTTGCTCCATCTTCTTTGAAAACTGAGGCTAATCCTTTGAGGCTGTCCTGGCTTGGTTTCTTGTAACTGTTTTGCCTGTTGGCCACTAAGGCAGAAAAACCCCATCACTGTTATCATACTGACTTGGGGTTCCACGCTGGATCTCCACCCCAGCTGTAAATAGGGGCTATTACAATTTTGAGTCTTCAGTGAAGAAACACTTCCACCGCTGCTGCGACCTGCAGCTGGTTTGCGAGGCCTAAGCACCCAACCTGCCATGAACTCCCTCCTCCAGTGGAGCCTCCTTACCTTATTGACTCGAGACATGACAGCAAAAATAGCTGCATCACTCATGACAGTAGTTTCAATATTCTCTTTAGATAGTCGGACAGCCATTTCATGACCCTAAAAAGAGGGAGAATCCAGTTGGTCCCCAGGGACATAGCTCCCACAGTGTAGTTACAGGTATTAGCACTCAATTCTTGTCTGAACTGCAAAAATACTGAGCGATGGAGCATAAATACAGCCTGCCAGCTGAAGGACACAGGGCAGGATAACGAGCTGTCTTCAATCTCTCAACTGCAGAGGAACTTCCATAACGTTCATCTTGCCTCCAGGGACAAAAGTTCAGTAAGCGAGCACGCGCGGGACGCGGCAGCGCCTGGAGAAGGCAGCCAGCCTGGGCCTCACCTGGCAGAACGGCGCACACTCCGCCACGATGACCTGGAACTTCCGCTTGCGGGCAGCTTCCTTCAGGAAGGCCTCAACAGTGCGCGAGTAGCCGATGGTCATGATCACCTCATTGGAGTGGATGTGCTCCAGCGCCTGCATAGCAATGTTATCAGTGGTGCCCTCTGTAACAGAAGGAAGCTGTGGGTGGAAAAGCAGCCGGGAAAAGCAACACTCCCCAGCAGACCAAGAGCACAGGCCAATTACCCCCATACTGTTCCCTCCACACTGTTCCACCCATCTCTCTCTAAGCCAAAGAGGACTTAGTCCAAGTCCTGGGAGCAGGACTAAATCCTTGCTGTTTTCTTTCCACCTAAGAGGAGGGGGAAGCATCAGTCCTACCCCATAAGAAGCTCTACTCATGGGACAGTTCAGACCCATCCGTACCTAGCTCTATTAGCAGCTCGTTAATAGCTTCAATAACGTTAGCTCTGAGGGGA